AGAGGAGAGTAAAGGCTCGAGCAGAACATAACAAGGGGAATGATACAGAAAGCCTTCCTGCAGGGCTTCTCGGCAGAAAGAGAGGCCCCACTGGGGCAACCTTGAGCACTCTGTCAGTCTTGTTCTTGAAAGACAAGGCTAAAGTGTCCCCAAGTGACTGATCTCAACCCTACGAGTCTAAGGCAATGTGGGCTACTTTTCCCTCGCAGGCACTGAGCACTGGCTGATCTGCTACCACAGTTTCTGAACTGCCGGGTGCAACCTGCCCATCACAGACTTAGGCTTGGCTCATCTAAGAGTCCCCTTGGAATTTGAAGATGCCAAAGACCTTAGGACCACAGCAACTCCATTTTGAGTGAGGGCTCGGAAAATGAGGCTGGGATTTGCTGCGCTGCATTCTCTGAAAGTTAGGCATTCCTCACCTCTAGATGTTTAAGGTTAAGGGAACAAATTGATGATGTTTACTAAACAGAGGTTTGGGAGTGTCCTAATATCCCAATGTCTTGAGAACAAAGGCATTTCTAATTTTGCCTTACAGATAGTAATATTGGGCCAGGCACAGTGGCTCACACCTATAATCCTAGCACTTTGGGAGGCCGAGATGGGTGGATTGCCTGAGCGCAGGAGTTCAAGACCAGCCTGGGCAACATGGTGAAACCCCATATCTACTAAAATACAAAAAATCAGCCGAGCATGGTTGCGGGCACCTGTAATCCCAGCTACTCAGGAAGCTGAGGCATGAGAATTGCTTGAACCCAAGAGGCGGAGGTTGCAGTGAGCTGACATCGTGCCACTGCACTCCAGCCTGGGCAACAAAGCGAAACTCTGTCTCCAAAAATAAATAAATAAATAATATCGATTCTTGCAAAATATAATAATGAAGAAAATTAATCCTTTATCAAAAACCCTTGTAGCAGAGCTCCCCATCCATACACATGAGAATTGTACCTCGGGGGGCTGGGTTCCTCCTCTTACTTTTGGGAATGTCCCACTCTGTCTATGGAGTCACTGTTCTTTCACTACATTACTCTCTTAATAAACTTGCTTTTACTTTGTACTGTGGATTTACCCTGAATTCTTTCTTGCGTGAGATCCAAGAACCCTCTCTTGGGATCTGGATTAGGACCCCTTTCCTGTAACAAAGATATGGGACAGGAAAAATCATGTCTGTGTGAACTCTGCCATAGCTGCATCGGAGAGGTGGCCTCCCAAAGGAAGTTCTGCTGTGCAGCTAACCTGGAAGGCTCCTCTTCAGCAGTTGCTAGTTTGGAGACACTTCTCTCTTCTCCTACCTTGCATATTGGATAGGATAGGATACAGGTTAATCACACTGACAGATATGCTGGTTCATTGAGGGACAAGGATTACTGGGGAGCATGCGTCTGGACGCTGCAATGACACAGTGATGATGCGCAGACAAATGGGGTCACACTGAGACAGAATACCTCTCCATGAATTTCTATATATGTAGAAAACCACATAAGCAATTAGTGCAAGAGACAGAACAATCCAGCACCAATGAAGGTGCTGTGGGCCTGGGCAATGAGGGCCTCAAAGGTAACCCCTATTCTGATATTTTCCACCATTGATAACTTTGTCGCATTCTTGGACTTCATCTAAATGGAATCATGTGATAAATACTCAGTGCCTGGCTTTCTTTGTTCCGCACCTTTGTATATGTCCTCCATGCTAATGCATGCATCAGCAGTTAGTGCTTTCTTTTTCATTGCTGTCTAGTATTCTACTATATGAAGAACCAAGTAATCTTTATCTACTGTTGAAATGGTATTTGGATTATTTCTTGTTTGGAACAAATATAGATAAACCTGTTATGAACATTCTTGAACATCTCTGACTTGTATATTCTTGACTTTTTAATGTGGAAATCAGGACCTCAAACTTACTATACCATAGGGTTGGAATTCCAGCAATTCTTTGTATAACCCCTGCACAATTCCAAGAAGCCGGCAATAGAAGAGAGACTTGGATATTTTGCTTAGTTAGCTGTCCTGAACTTTCCTATATTTTTATTCCTCTGCTTTTAGGAAATTCCACTTGAAAAGTAGCTATTTTCTCCTTTTGCAAGTCTATCTTTTTCAATGCAAATCTTAAGCAAAATATAAAAAGCCAATACCAATTGAGTCCTAAAATGAATCTATCAAGTTTCACTTTTTTTTTCCCCTGAGGAAGCTGAGCATATTGACTCATTTTAGACCCTAAAAATATGTATCCATTCCACCTATTAAAAAAAAATGCAACAGGGATCCGTGGGCAGGAAGATGGCTGAAACTCCCTTCCCCCAGCCAGTCCCAGCATGGTGCTTGCTTTAAAGACTGGAGCATGATGACACACACCTCACCCATGTGGAATATCTCTCCAGAGCCAAAGGTACAGTGAATACTGAAGACATGGACTTGTAACAATACATAAATAGTTTCTTACTTCAAAAAAAAAAGACAGGATGCCAATGATTTCAATAGACTCAGCAAAACAACTTAAGTCTACTAGACAATTGAACAACTCTAAGCAGTCTTGATGATGCTACAAAGTTCCGTTAAACTCTACTCTTCACATAAGTGGATTTTCTAACCTGCCAATTACGGCTTTCCATTTTCTTCCTGGAGTTACACATCATGCGAATCTCAGATAGCACTGTCCTTGGAGCAGTTTTCTTGCCAGCTCACAGTGCCACCTGTGGCTGAGCTCTGCCTTGCTGTGATGCATTTATGCTGACCTGTTTTCACTCTTGGTCCCGGAAAATTTCAGCCTTCTGATACTACCAGCCCAATGTCCATATTTCCTGGCAGCTTTATTTACAGTCACATGTTTAAAAGACAGAAGGCAGATTTCAATTTTATCGGTTGCTAATAAAGTAAGATTTACAGAAGTTGCCCAGACCACTGGGAAAATTACTAGAGCTCACAGTTGCAACAGTACATCCCCAAGGGAGCACACTGGAGGGTGGCACCCTCTCCTAGCTGGTTCTAAACGGTCCCAACTCCTATTCCCTTCCCAGGCCCCTTTCAGGCAGAAGAGGAGACTGCAGTTTCCAGGCTGCTCGCACATAACTAAGCATCTCTTTCTAGCCAGCTCCCAATAGCCTCCTTGGTCAGCTAGAAAATCAGGCTTGGGGGATCTGAGATAAGAAGGACAATAACAAGGGTGAAGTGGGCAAAGTTTGGATCCACGGGCTCAGGACTCCCATTCTGGGAATATCTGGATCCCCAAGGCTGGCAAAATTGTATCCCAAAGGATGCTACGGGGTAAAAGGGAAACAGATGACATTTTAGATTTTTTTCTTCTGGAACGTCTGGACACACTGCCCAAAGCATCCACATACAAATTAGGTATTTCGTATAAAGCCATTTACAAAAAAACAGACACTCTGTAAGGCAGTGCTAGGCTCAGTTCAGCTCAGTGAACAAGCAATGGCTTGGCCACGGGCACAGGGCTGGTGCTGGGTGCAGGGACTCAGGGATGCACAGCAAGAGAAGTCTCGCTGCCCACTGATGTGTCTGGAGAGGTGGGTGGGTGAAAGGACTTTCCATTTGTCTTCCCAGTGCTCTCTCCAAAGCCTGTCTCTTCCCTGGGATCCACCACTTCTCTGTCCTTTCCTGAGAGACAGACTAATAAATGTGCCTCCTTACATTTTATATTACGTTCTAGCAGCAAATCCAGGGGGCCCAGAGCCCTGCACTCGGCTGGCTACTTAGTCCCTGGCTCAGGCTCCAGGGCCTGCCAGGCACCAGAGGGGACCCTGGTTCTGCAGCTCTGAGCTCAGAACATCCAATACTCTTTGCTGGGTGGGAAGTTAAGGGCGGGAATAGTTCCCGGTGCAAGGTAGGTCTCTTCCTCCCGAAAAGAATTCTACTCTGCCCCAAACGAACTCAGCTGTGCGCCCTGTGGCTTCTGCTGGTGGGTGGTGTGTGCTCTGGAGGAGGGTAGGGTTCCTGGCTAGGAGTGGCAGTGGCACCGGCTCTGGAGTGTCCCTAAATGTCAACATGCAACATTACTAGGCAGGCCCTCCCACTTCAGTCCTCAGGCCACTCACAGGACTTCCTGTCCCCATGCAGAGGGGCTGACAGCAGGTTGGAGCCCCCACTGAAAGGATCCCCGAATCCCTGCTTCTACAAGGCAGCATCCGCAGGTGAGGGGCCAGGCGCCTGGGCGACCCCCACCCGTCGCTCCTGGCTTCCCAAAGCCCCGCCAGAGCAGGCAGCCATGCAGCAGGGTCCCCAGCGACCCCCCATCCCTGAGAGAACACACTGAGACCCCCGCCCGCCAGCTACTCCGGAGGCGGCTCCAGGGCAGACTCAACAAGTTCCCGGGGCCGCGCAGCGCCGCCTGCAGCCCAGAAACCCGGAGGACGCGCCGCGGTGAAGCCCAGCGCGCAGGCAGCAGCCGGCGGCAGCTCTTCCCACCACCACCATCACCACCTCCTCCTCTCCTCCTCCTCCTCCTCCTCCCGCTCCGGCGGCGGCGGGAGGGGGCTCCTCCACTCCGTCCGGATCCCCCACCCCACGCACGGGGCCCGGCCCCGCGCCGCCCCCGCCCCACCCCCGCCCCACCCCCGCCCCGCGGAGCCCGGGGCTCCGCCCGCTTCGGTGCCAGCCGGGCGCACAGGCAGCAGGCACGCGGCTCGGGGCGCCCTCGCTTCTGGCCGCCGGGCTCCGCGGAGTAGCTGGGACCTGGAGCGGCGGCAAGGACTTCCCTCCTGCCCCCTCCCCCGCTCCGCCCCCGCCTCCTGGCCCAGGCTCTGAGATCTCGCCGAAGACAATTGCAGTAAATGAGGACATCGGAGGAGCGCGAAGCCGGGTGGCTGTGGCTGGCTCCGCCGCGCCGCGAGCGAGCGAGCGCGCGGGCGTCCCCGGAGCCGGCCTCCCCGCTGCCTCCCCGCGCGCATCGCTGAGCGGGGCCGGAGGGACGCGAGCTGCGGCGCGGGGGGCGGCCGGGCCAGGAGGGCCGGGCCGGCGGCGGTGGAGGGGGCGGGCAGCGGGCGCGCAGCCGGCCAAGTCCCCGGAGCCGAGCCTTCCTCCGCGCGAGCCCGGCGAGTCCGGCCGCGGATGCCCTGCCCGGAGTGCTCCGTGCCGCGCCAGGCTTGCCAGGGTCCGCGGCGAGACATGCCCGAGCCAGGCGCTGCCCCGACCTCGACTTATCTGTAAGCAGCGTAAGGTAAGCGAAGCCCCGCGCGCCCTCCTCCCGCGTCCCGGCGCCCGCCGCACTTGGCCGCGGGCGGAGCACCGCTCGGACAGCCGCCGACCCCGGCTAGGGCGCACGCACTCGCCCCAAAACCCGCTTGGCGGGGAGACTTGGCGGCTCCCGGGGCCGGGACACCCGGGTGCAGCTGGGAGCGGACCCGGCGCGGGCGTGGGCGGGGGGCGAGGTTACGCAACTGCATCTGGCGCGGCCGGGTCGCCGAGGGGCGTCTGGCAACTTTGGCGACGTCAGGGAGGAGCGGGGCTGCGCCTCTGCGATGTCGGTTCCAGACAAACGCCACAGCTTCGTGAGCGCCAAACAGCCCTAGCCAGGCAGAACTGGGGGATCCGGGGGCGGCCGTCTCCCCGGAACGTTTCAAGGCTTTAAGTATTTTCCAAACTAGAGCGCCCTGGAAAGTACGGCTGATTAACTTCGGGCGGTGGGGGGGATGAGTTGGAGCAGAGGGGCCCTGACGCCGGCCGCTGAGGAGAGACGCGAGCAGCAGCGAAGGCAGATGCCCACGTGAAATGCCAGCCTCCTCCACTCACTGGGGTTGGCACCTTCCCGGGGCTGCGGGCTGGGGTCGGCGCCCGCCGGACTTCCGGGTGCCTGGCATCCCGAGTCAGGCTGGGACAGGCGTGGGAAACCAACCAACGCTGCAGACCTAAGGAGAGGGCAAGCTGGCGGGTGAGGGCAGGAGGGAGGAGGGAGCCCACGGGCAGCCCGGGGCTGGGGCAGAGCCTGGAGCCCAAAGTCAAGAGCAAGAGCCTGCCTCTTGCTGGTTCACCCTCTGGGCTCCAGACTGACGTCCCCGCTGCTTGGATAAAGAGCCGCTCCCTGTGACCTCAGCATTCTACTACCCAAAAATAAGCCACAGGGAGAGGGAGCCAGTGATAAGCAGATGCCAGGAGTGGGGGAGGAGAGGTCCTTCTAGAGTAAATAAGAGAGAAAATGGGTGCGTTTTGCTTATCTACAACCCAGGGGTCCCATTGGGACCCCTCTCCTGCTGTTGGTCTGTGCTTGAGGGGCTGGACGCCCGCTGGGCCCCTGCGCCAGAAGCAGCAGTGAAGCGGTTTACTTTGACCTTGTCTGCTTAGGCGCTGAAATTCTGCGGAGGCATCCCGAGGTGAAACTGCAAGAGTGGGAAGGAACTTTGGGGGAGCCCTGCCTTGCCTGGGAAGCCAAGCGATCATTTCAGAAGACTACCGCTCAGGCTAGCACAGGGTCGGGGTCTGCGGACTTGAAGGCTTTTCCCTGAACGAGGACTTGCTAGAGGGTTACCTTTACATACCCAAGTGCCGGGACTGTCAGGGTGACCGCGCTGGCTGTAGACTTGACTAAAAAATACCACCCGCAAGACCCAGGCCATTTCCCAGTAGTGCATACATGAAAATGATACAGCCCTTATTAAGCTTACGCTACAGCAAGTTTCCGTCATTTCACTATGCAGAGGCTGAAAGTGCTGGTTTTTACTATTCATATTGTGTTATTTCATGCACTCATATCCTGTTGAATGTTACTTTCGAAAGTTCATATTTATCTCTACAGTGTTTTGCAAGAATGATTAGCAAACATGCACAAGGACCTCAATGGAAAAATGGAAGTCCTGCCATCTGCATGCCTCACCAGATATTAATAATTTACTATCCATGTTTACTACTTACATTAGATGGCACTGCTCCTCACGATGGTTTTATTAGAGGCATATTTGGTGAAGAAAAAAAAAAGTCTAGCACAGTTATCACTAATTGCATGATTTTGCATAAATTACGTTAGCCATGGAGAGTTTTGTTTTCTTCACTAAATTCATTTTGTTTAAAAGATTGAAGAATTCAGTTTAATTTCTTTAGCTAAACGAAAGACTTTTTCTTAAAGACAAGATGCCCATGAAAAGCTCAATATGCCTTTAAACTTATTGCAGTTGCCACGACTTTTTTTTTTTATCATTGTGATGAAGACTTTGAGCTTTTACATAAATCAGGCTCTTTATCCGATTAAGAAACAGAACTACTGGTTAAGAAATAGGCTAAGAAGGCAAAAGCTGGGAAGCTCCAGGGCTGCACAGGGGGCTTCCTGCAAGCTCTTTGGGAAGCTGGGTACTCGATTACTCAGTTGACTTTGGGGGCTTCTCTGTTTTGCCAAGGTTGTTTCCCCTGTGGCAGGAAAGGGAGTTTTTGTCTTTTGTTTCTCCCTCTGTAGGGAATAATTTTAAAATAAATCAATAAATAAGAGAAAGATTTGTACGTGAAAGGCATTCATCTACAAGGAAGACTCTCCTACATGTTGAAATAAGCAGTCCAAAAATCAAAATGATTTTTAGAAATAACAATGGATCACAGCTGAGCAGCAGGACAGACCCACTCATGTAGACATTTGTATTCTCTTGTTCCCACCCACCTACAGCCATCTCATTTAGAGACACAACTACTGAACTCTGGAATATGAGAAGCAGGTAACTTAACGCTTCTCAGAGGCTCATGATAGAGAAATGATCACAGCTACATCCAAAAACAGCAGCTCTGTGGTCATTCACATAGGAAGGCAGTGACCGATTCACCAGGGATTTTTATGCACGTCAAGGATGCTGTTTAACCCCTTCGTAGCACCGAAGACGCTCAGTCAGGAAGGCAGGCAAATTCTACATACTTGAGGCAAACCCCCATCATTCTGGGAATGTGAGGTCATAATAACTCCCCAGAGAAAATCAGTGTCACTGTCATTTTAAAGAGTCCTTCATAAATGTGAAGAACCACCTCCCCTCCCCACCATAATTCCACTGAGAGCTACATTCCCCAACAGAAATTAGCTGGCATGATTTATGAAGCAGATCCTTTTCTGTCTCCTCACATATTTGATTTTAATATTTCATAACATTATGGAGTGACTTCAATATTTTAAAGCAAAATTTAATATGATAGATATTACATGACGACACTTTCATTACCATGAAATTCCCATACAAACATTTAGAGAAGTCTTTATCCAATATTGAAGCTAATGTATGATACGTATGTAGTGAAACTTCATAACTTTTCATCAGTTTATTTAAAATATACATTGTTCTTATACATGAAGGATAGAATACAGACTTGCAGGAAGTAAACTTCAGGGCCCCTGACGGGACTGCTGGAAAGAGTTGTTTGGTCAATGTCTTATGTTAACACTAAGACATAAAGGTATAGGTTTGAACCTTTGGACCATGTGTGATAATGTGTCTGTTTCAGATCCTGAAGGCGCTAACTAAGGCATCTCCAGGCAACCAAGGATCTGGCCTCTCACATTGAGAAAAACCGTAACTTCAGAGACATTTCCTGGTTCCAAATTCAAGTCCTTTCAGACACCCCTCTACTGTAAGTCACAGGATTTTCAGGGTGCATTTGAGTCATACGTACTTTAGACGTTATTCAAACAATAATGAATGAGCTGAGGGACTTTAAGGTGTACACAGATGTTATCAGACAACAAACCACTATCTAAACAAAAAACATTCTAACCTGATAACTGCGTGTCCTTCTGCTTGAGTATATATTCCCAGCTCTAATTGGGACTGAAAGAAAATTAGCTTGAATGTAGAATAGCAGTTATTAGGGACGAGCAGGAATTATGTTTCTAAATTACTCTATAAACCTTTTGGCTAACAACGTATTTCAAAGGGATTTGGAAATAACTCTATCCAAAGTCACTATTTGTGAATATTGATTGTATAGAGCATGGAACTGTTTATTCAAAGTATTGCACATCCAGAGACATATTCTCTTTACCAAACCATCCTGCTGTTAGAAGTTTGAGCAAGAAAAGAAAGAGATGCTTGCATCTCTGCACAGCATATATTCATATGAATTATGCTATTCTAACCAATAGAATGGTGAAGGAACAAAAAAATCATAACGGCATATCAAAATGCCTATTGAAGTTTATATTCCACTTAATATGGAAAATTACAATTCAGTCCATAATGATCTAGCCTTGGGCATTAAATGAAATGCAGTAAACCACAACATAGGAGAGACATGGGAAGGAGGCTACGGAATGCTGATAATATTACAGGCAGCCTTGCAAATAAAAGTTGCTCTCACTCCATCTCAGTAGAGATGATCATAGCTATATCCCAAAGCAGCAGTTCTATGGACATGCACATCCCAGACAGAGGAGGAAAAAGGGCAGGCTGATGATATGAGGGCCTTTATACAGCTGTTCAGTTGAGGAAGCAACATGGGGGGTATAGCATACTCACTGCCAACCTTAATGAAATTGAGCAATCTTTGTGTTTCTAGGTCATTCCACTGGTCATGTAGGCTCTCTCACCCTTGTTCTTCTCTAGGAAGGATACTGTATTTCTCAATTGCCCTTCTTCATGTTTTTAAAAAATCATTTAACAGATTTTATATGTATTTAGTTAGATTCTAGATACCTCTTATTACCTGTATTATGTACAATGAAATCTGCTTATTTTTGTAGTAAGTGATTTTAGCATCCTTAAAAACATAGCAAAGATATGAAACCTGGGATTTTTAAATAAGGCAAGCATAAAGAAGGTAGATGGATATGCAGATGGCTTTGTTCGGAAAGGACTTCTGATTTGTGGATATGTACTGAGCTGTTGCAGCAGTGGCCAAGGCAATGTGTAAGGTATTACAAGACCAAGTGAGAGGTCTCCAAGAAGGTCAAGTCCAGGAGGAAGTGGCAAGGAAGTAGCAGGAACCTAAAGACTCCCCCAGGAAGAATCAGGATAGGAGGTTATAGGGAGAGAGGGATGCCCTGGGTGACTTCATGGGTGATGCTTCGAGTGGGACTCCTGAGCCCAGCAGACAGAAGTCCTAGAGCTTAAGCCAAGTGGTAGGGTGCTCAGGGCTAGGGACTGGTATGGGAAGAGTGAGAAGTGACATTTGGCAAAGGTTGAGGTGCTGGGATCAGACAGTGGAGGCACAGTTTGAAGTCACTTTGAGGTCCTCTGTTGATGTTTTAAACAAGAACAT